GGAGTCAGTTCTCCCTCAGGCGGCCCCCGGCGCCTTCCCGCTTTACCTTCCCCAAGGCTGAAGCCCTCGAGCCGGCTGCGGCGCTGGGTCCTGCGGCGTTCCGGATGTTGCTTCCTCTCCTTCCTGCTCCCGGACGCTAACTCAACTTTTTGTTAAGCAAATTCTCACCTCGCAATCCAACTGGATGCTCCAAGGAATATTTATTGAGCGCCCCCATGTGTCAGGCCCTAGGTACGAGGCTGTGAGTTAGCGCGCTCGCGAGCGAATGCACTTTTTGCAAGAGGTAACCTGGATCCCTGGCTCCCTGGCTCTCTCTCAGTGTACGCATTAAGTCGAGCACAAAGGAGGTAGACAGGAGTAGTGGGAGGAACCAGACGGCCGCCCTTGCAGCCCCGTTCAGTCCCTTTTTAAAAAATCTTATGGACTTTAGGTTTCCTTTCCAAGAGCAAACAGCTCCTGGCTGATAAGACCCAGAGACCACAGCTTTCACCATCTTGGGTAAACTGCAGCTGTGCCGGCCTAAGATCGTTGTCCTTGAGGGAACCTGCCCCCAACTTTGTTAGGCTTCTCTCCACTGCTGTATAAGAACCCCGTGGACTCTAGGAGAATTGCCTTTCCTGTCACTAAAACTAAATATCTGAGGTGAAATTGTAGTTTTATTCGCTTTTAAAAGCTATTTGCTTTTAAGATCTACCAGATTCTTGAGTGAAAGGAGCACAAAAGTTATGGCGTGACGTCCGGTGACAACCACTGCTTGCTTGGTTTATTGCTTGCTTTCTCTTGGGCCTGAGTCTTAGGTGTTGTCTCCAAGGTCTCATTCGGTAAGGATAACTTCTTGGGTTCAAGAAACTGATCTCAGATAAGCAAAGGAATAATTATAACTGATTAATTTCTGTGAAAATATTGAACTCTTAAATATTTGAATAGGTATTACCTGATTCTTAATATGGCCGATCTAGTTTTTAATGTAATATCTGTATTCCTGAAATGGTGGTTGTAAACTAAACCATTTTAGATACTAAGATAATTCGTTCAGTTTTTTTTAAGGAATTCGATTATGAATCATTTGAGCGATAAATAATCTTATTAGTAAAATGAGTAAGTTATTCTCTGGTTTATCTGACTGGTAAACCTAGAATTTTGCAAACTATTCCTGGAATACAGTGGAACACTGTTAGGAGCTAAGAGGCCCAAACACCTTATCTCTGTTCATTGGATGTTAAGGGATCTAAAGCTCAGAGAAATTGCCCACACTCAGGCTTGCTAGTGACATAAATCATGATCATGATACCTAGAAAAACGGTGAACTGTCCATTTGTCTAGTTGTCTGTGCTTTGTAACTTATGAAATGTAAATGTTACAATGCTTTGGGTGCAGGAATGGATAACTGACTTACATGGAGAAGTACCTTGAAGGGAAATCTTTTTTTCAATTCTTTATTGTGGCCTGAGAAACTCCAGCGTTACCGCTTTGAGGCTATATTATCACAGTGTGAACAAGTAAAATGAAAATGTGAAGGGGGAGAGACCATACTGAGCTTTTCCTTCTATAACGATTGTACTGACACTTTGGATCCAAATGATACTCTCTTCTGAACGTTTTCCCAGTGTTGTGTGATTGTTCTATGCCTCCCTTCTATACTCCAGGATTACAGCATAGCCTTCTTTCCCTTCAACCCCAGCCTCTCCTATCTGGATGGTGTCCTGAGGGCTGGCTTTGCGACTGCTCCTAGGCAGGTTGCTGTGGACCTCCTGCCAGCCTTCTCAGGTCTTCAGGCCTCCACTGAGAGCCCCACCCCATCTCCTGCACCCACAGCCTCTGAGGGGCGCTGTCAGTCGCAGCTTCTCCAGTTCTGCACAGGACAGCCCGGGCCAGGCTGTAGCTTTACACTGGATGTCCTGAGGGATACCCCAACATTAATAGAAATGCCACTGTCAGCACACAAAGGCCCACACTCAAACTCTGGTCCCACTGAGGTACCAGGAAGCTTTTGACATGTAGGGAGAGTAAGAATCCCAGGATCCAGGCGGAATCTTTTCCTGGAAAGGAAGAATTCATGCTGTACTTGTTATCAGCTGATTGCCTCTTGACTCTGAATTCACCCTTTTTGTCTATTCTGTGAAAATTCATCTAGGCCCTTTTAAACAGTTTTCCTCTACAGTGAACTGAGGATAAACTTTGTAGGAGGCCCTGGAGAGACACTACAGGATGGAAAGAGTTTAGTTTCCTGCTTCTTTATTGGGTGTGCTCCTGCAGAAAGAGTAGCTTCTCAGCCCAAGTTTTCACAGTGTGCCTGGTGGCCAGCAACTCCCCTGGCGTCTGCTTCAGGTAGATTTGTAGCAGAGTGTCTCTGTTAAGACCCTTCTGCAGGAGACCAGCTTGAAACCACACTGAGCAGACTTTAAGATATTGAATTGGTGTATAATTCAGCTATTGATTAAAATTATGGCACTCCAAATTATCTCATTATGTGACTTGCTAGAAGAGTCTTTGGCTGGTATATAGAAACATTTCCCTGTACCAGTGGTCACAATTGAGATCTCAGTGATTATGAGGATTGCGATGTCTCTAATAGCAAGATGACACTACAGCTGAAGAATTATGACTGTTTACAGCTGTTCTCCAAGATCAAATGTTATCTAGAGATAATGCAGGTGACTTGTTAGCTACAACCTGCAAGATAGCACAGGCGGATTGTTAACTATGACCTGTCCTTCACAAATATACCTAGTTACTCCCCTTTTATAGTCTGGCTCACCAGTGCCTTAAATTCCACTAGTCCCTGTGTCTGCTTTTATGTCCCTTGCTATGTTGTATAATCAAAAATACTGACAAATCTAGAGATCGTGATCTTAGCCAGGAAAGAGCTAAGATCAGGTCCCAGCCCCCCCCCATAATAATAAACTACCACCTGTTCTTATTTCTTTATTCTTTGTTCTGTTATTCTTTTATCCTCTGCTGTACCCTCAATTAGGTGACCAGGCATCCCCCAAGAACTGGTGGCCGGGCTTCACCAGGTACACCTCTGCAGGAACTGCTGTCTCTGGCACTGAGAGGGTAGACTTCCAGAACATTCTAGAGAACAAATCTCCAGCGAGTCCCACTGGCACAGCACCACAGTGACTTCTCTGCCACCTAGCAAACTGTGGAAGTACTCCGATGAGGTCTGGATCTCAGCTCTGAGGAAAGGAAGAAGAAGGCCTTTGTTTTGTTATGTTTTTATGGGTAAGACTAGCCAGTCTCTTGATATTCCAGTTCCCTGTGATAGTTTACATTTTGTTGTATTAACCTTTCCCTGTTGGAATTATTGTGTGGGTTTTCTCTCCTGATTGGATCCAGACAGATACAACTGTGTATTCCCTACTCCGGGAGATTCCTCAGTTGTGATTCTGTGGCCTTTAGCAGGGAAATATGCATTTCTTGTCTCAGGAGGAAAACTACCTCCTCCAGAGGGTGTGTTATGGTCCCTGGGCAGTTGGGTATTACTTACCCTTGAGCAAAATTCCACTGCAGATAGTCAAAGCCCAGGCCAGATGTTCGTGAATCATTTCCTCTGCGTTCTCCCTCCCTTTTATTCAGGGCACATTGGGGCTGGTTGTTCCTGATGTCCTGTGAGCAACTAGTTAGACCAGGGATTGGCAAACCCAGGCCTGCCATCCTCCCTGTGGCTGTTTGTGTCCAGTACTTGAGCTAAGAATGATTCTTAAACTTTTAAAGGGTTGTTAAAAAGGAAAAAGGAAAAACAAGATGTAGTAGAGATGGATTGTATGTGATCAACAAACCTTAAAATATTTGCAGGCTGACCTTGTACAGATCTCTGTCTTAACAATACACTCCATCTCCAAAGCAAATAGTAACTTTCAGCTAAGAATAGTCCAAAACCAGACGCAGGCTTGAGGAAAGGCAAAATATTTCTTTAATTTTCCTGGACATAATACTTTCTTGTGGACCCAGTTTATACAAACCAACAGGTCACATGCTTGGTATCTTAAGGGGAAGCCTGGGCATTGGCCTACCTCACTAGTGTTCGGCTTTCTCCAAAGCAATGTGACATTCACCTAACCAAAGTCACTACCACTAGTGCTTATGCCCTAGGACTCAAGGAGGAACTGTGCTCTGATGTCAGGCAACTCCTATCAGCCTGTGCCTCTGGGGCATTGCTGTGCCCCTGTCAAACACCAAAAATATGTCAAGGCACCTTGTAGGCACCTTTAAGGTGCACCTGTCAGCCTCAGGCACCTGTAAGCCTGAGGCCCCTGTAAGCCAAGCCTCAGGGATGGCAGTGAGGGTGGAATGGGGGGTTTGACCTTCCAAAGCATGAGAACTAGAGATAAGGCCCTACTTTGTGAATTCTCCAGCCCAAGTGTGACACAGTATTGTCTGTGTGGTGGAGTGAACAGATGGAACAGATTGTGTATAGAGTGTGCATGAAATACAGGTGAATTTCACTTGAGGCCCATGCCCAAGATATCTCAATATGTATGTGCAAATATTCCAAATTTCAATATGCTCTGAAATCTAGAACACTGCTGACCCTAAGCATTTTGCATAAAGAATGCCTCAAATTGTAGCACCTTGGGAACCAATCCTCATCCAGACCAGCTCCCCTTTTTCCTACCATCTTACTCCTGCTCCTAGATATATATTTCTTAATAAAGCCTTTGCATAAAAGTCTTTACCTCAGATTATGTTTCCTGAAGAAGCCATGCTAACACCCATGCTTTCTCAACCACTGCATGAGGCCAAAAGAACCTCTTGTGCTCACTGGTTTGGACTTATGTGGCCTGATATAATCCCCTATCAAGGACAGAGAGGAGGAGTTCTACAGGAGAGCGGTGATATGGACCATCCACTGTGTCTGTTAAGTCTGTTTTCTGCTGTTGTAATAGAATCCCCAAGACAGTGATTTATGATGAACGGAAATATATTTGGCTCCCAGTCCTGGAGGCCGGAGACTGGAGAGTCCAAAAGCATGATATCAGCATCTGACAAGGGCCTTCTTGCTGTGTCATCCATGGCAGGAGGCAGGAAGAGCAAGAGCGGGGACTGTCTCACTCTGTAACAACCCGCTCTGTCAATGACGGCATGAATCCACTAGTCACCCCTCACTAGGCTCTGGTCCCAATACTTGCAGTGGTGATGAAGTTTCCAACACATGAATTTTAGGGGACACATTTAACTATAGTGCCTGTTGTACAGGGGAGGCCTGTACCTGTCTTTCCCTGGTCAGGAGTATTTGCTTCTAGTCCCTTAAGCTATCTCATTTCTAGTTCTCTGGGATTGTTTCTTCCCTCAGTTTTTCAT